GCGGGCCCGTACGCGGGTACCACGCTTACCCGGGGGTTGGGTTTGAGCTCATTAGTACCTACTTGGGCAGGGAACATTCGCATAAAATTTCAGCTCTCTAGCTTTTCTGGTTCGCGAATTTGCAGCCTGCCTGTAAAAAACTTCGGCGAGCTCTTACGTGGGTACCACGCGGGAAAGACCGCCAATTTTGGGGATGGAGCCCGCATGTGCATGTAGATAAGTCCCCAAAGTTTCAGCCCTGTAGCTTTTGTAGGTCTCGAGATGAAAAATCGGTACAGAGGCCCTGCGCGCACACACAGACACACACAGACAACCTCTCGTCAATATGCGTTTTTTGCATTGCATAAAAAACGCATAAAAACGTATATTGGCAAGAGGTTGTGTATGTGTACATGTGTGCGTTCGTATCTTGTCGCTCCGCTTTCGATCCGAGGATCAGAAAAGTTAGGAAGCTGGAACTTCCAATTAGTTTTTTGGCATTCTATTATCTTTAATTACCATTTTTTAACAGGTTATTTTATAGATCGTAGCTCGCGGGCATGGCATATCGTCACCACCGGAGCAACTCGTCTTCGACGGAGAAGATACATTTGGCATCGGCTCAAATGTACAAACTATTCTCTACAGCCGTGATGGCGAAGAACGAGCCACTCATATCCAGCGTTCTAGCCAAGCCTGAATCCTGGCTAAAAGAAGCTTGGATTCACTGGACCGTGAAATAAAAAAAGAAAACTAACGAACATATAATCGAAGAACCATCAGCTCTATACTAGCCGTCATTGGTGCCTAAGCTAGGATGCACTTGCGCAAATTTGTTTACTCGCTGCCCATGCGTATATCCGAATTCTAAAAACTGAATTCCTAAATTTCTAAATTCCGTTACAGTCAGTTCTGTCATTCACATAAACTTTCAAACAAGTAATAAAATTTTTGAATTCATAAGTTCGGATGTGATGACATCGTATGGTTTCTGCTCAATTTGGCAATATTTGCACAAGTGCATCCTAGCCACTACGTGTTGTGAAAAACTGACAAAAGATCAGATCGTTTTAAAGCTAAAACTTAAGGAATAAAACCTGTTTTCATACCGGCTTTCCGGCTAACTGTAGCCACGTGAATTTTTCAAAATTTGGTCAGTTCCGGATACTGATTCCTAGAAAAAACATCTCGGGCCAATTGTTCATTATGGTACTGTCAGTGTACTCGAATCTTTCACTGTTTTATTCAGTTCGAAAAGCCTTTTTTTAACCGTTTCCGGTGGTAAATTGTTATAACGCTGCCTTTCATATCAATATCAATTTTTTC